TGCGCACCCGCGCATGCCGCAGCCGCCGTCGCCGCGCCTCCCGCCGCAACCGACCCAGCCGCATATGCCTGCCCTCTCTTTGTACTGCAGGTATGCCGTGCGGTACATCGAGGTGGAGCAGCCCACCCTGGACAAGGACCAGCTGGCCGCCAAGGTGGGCTGCGGCTGGGCGGTGTGCTGCTGGCGGCGGTGTCTCGTGTGCTGATGCGGTGTGCATGCATTGCTGCCACTCCCGCCGGCCTTCCCACGCCGGCCTTCCCACGCTGCCGCTGTATCATCTGCACGCCCTGGCCGGCTGCCCCGCTTGCCCAGCCAGCTGTGTACTGCCCTATTAACATGATTGTACCATCGCCTGTACCGCTTGTACCACAGATGGAGCAGGAGTACCACGTGGAGGCCTTTGACATGCAGCGCATGGAGGACGCGGAGGAGGAGCGGGTGGGCGCGCTGCCGCCGCGCCCGCCGCCGCCCTGCCCTGATTGCTTGTGCGCTGGGTGGCGTTGCGTGTGCTTGCCTTGGCCTTGCGTGTTGCCGTCTCTTTTATTGCCTGGGGCGGCCGTTCAAGCACACAAAGTTATCGCCCACCCGCATCCCCCTGCGGCCAACTCACCACACACACACACACGCACCCTGCTACCTGCTTTCTGCACGTCGCAGGAAGCTGAGATTGACGAGGACGAGGAGCAGAACATCGTGGTGGACTGGGACGAGGTGTGGCGGCACAGCATGGCCACAGCATGGCCACAGCATGGCAGGCATGCTGGGCTGGTAGTGCCTGCCGGTGCTGCGTGCTTCATTGCGCCGCGCCGCGCCGCCGTGCCACCCCCGCAGGGCGACGCTGTGGAGGCGTACCGGCAGGAGGTGGAGGCGGCGCAGCAGGCGGAGAAGGAGCGGGAGGCGGCGGAGGTGGAGTGGCTCAAGGTGGGACCCTAAGGCTGTGTGTGTGTGTGTGTGTGTGTGTGTGTCGAACGGGCATGGCGGGATGGTAGCAGCACAGGGGTGGGAGGTGGCTGCCGGGTGGCTCCGCTGCACCGCTGCTCCCGGGCCCAGCCTGCCCACCAAAGCTCCCCTGCCGCCCCCCGCTGCCGCCACCACCCGTGCAGCAATACTATTTAGACCTGGGAATGGATGTGGAGGCGGCGGTTGCTGCCGCCAACGGCGACCCAGCAGCCCAAGCCCTGGCCATCCCCCTGCTGGCGGCGCAGCAGCAGGCCGCCGCAGCGGCCGCCGCCGCCGCAGCAGCAGCCGCGGCGGCCCACGGCGGCGGCGGCCGCGGCTGGCACGGCGGGCGGGGCCGCGGGCGCGGCGGGCGCGGCGGCGGCCGCGGCGCCGCGCCCCACCCACAGCCGTGGGTGGTTTCTGACACATCCGGCGCCGCCGACGGGCCCGCCGGCAAGCGCCAGCGGCTGCTGCTGCCGCTGGGCGCCTATCAGCAGCCCTGGGAGCCTCAGGAGGTGGGTGCCCGCCGGCCTCCCTGCCCACCCCGGCTGTGTGGCGGCCGGGCAGCGGCAGGAGGGCGGCGGCTGGGCTTCCAGGCAGCAGCCAGAAGGAGGCCGGGCCACGCATCCGCCTGCTTCAGTCGCCACCTGCTCTCACTGCTCCAGCCTCTCCCGCTGCCCCCCCGGCCTCACCCTGCCTGCCTTCCCTGCCTGCCGCCCGCTTTCTTCCACGCCAGGACTTGGTGCTGTGCTCGGTGGTGGCGGCACAGCTGGAGGGCGGCCAGCCGCTGGGCTATGCCGCTTACCTGGCGGCTGCAGACGCGCTGGGAGCGGGGGCCGCCGCCGCCACCGTTGCAGGGGTGGATGCCGCGGCGGCGCTGGGCAGGAAGCGCGGCGCGGCTGCCCTGTAAGGCACGCTACGCTCAGCTGTGCGCGGCGGCGGCGGTGGCGGGCGGTGCGGGCGGCGCGGGAGGAAAGGAAAACTGGGACGCGCTGCTGGGCGCGCTGCGGCAGCAGCTGCAGCGGCAGGCGGCGCCCGGCGGCGCCGGCGCAAAGGCGCTGGCGGTGGTGTGTGCGCTGCTGCAGCGCGCGGCTGGCAGCACAGGCGGCGGCGGGGGTCTACCCCCGCAGCAGGCGGCCACCGCCGCGGCGCTGCAGCAGCAGCTGGCTGCGCTGTCGCCTGGCGCGGCCCCCGCCGAGGCGCCGCTGCCGGCCCTGCAGTCGCCCTCGGCAGCGGCGGCGCCGCTGGCGCGCGCGCAGCAGCTGGCGGCGGCGGTGTGGCAGCGGTGCGGCGCCGCCGCCGCGCGTGTTGTCGCCGCCCGCCTGCCGCACATCTTAGAAGCCGGTGGGTGTTGTTGCGCCGCGGTGGTGTGGTGGTGTGGTGGGGGAGGTACACCAGGCATCCAGCCTGTGCGGTTGCCCCGATGCCCTGCACGCTAGAGCCCTGCTGCTTCTATTGTTATGCTTGTCGCATCCACCTCCCTGACTGCGGGCACTTTTCGCCTCCTGCGCAGCCCGCACCGGCGGCCCCGCCGCCGCCCGCCAGGCGGCGGAGGATTCCTTCTCGCGGCCCTCGGTGACAGGCGGGCTGGGCAGCCCCCTGGGCGGCGCCGGCCTGCTGCAGCAGTGGCCTGCAGGAGGGCAGGCAGGCATCCCGCAACAGCAGCAGCAGCAGCGGCTGGGGCCGGCCTTCCCCGACACGGCCGCCGCCCCGCTTGCGGCGCTGGCGGCCTTTGGCCTGGCGCCGGCGGATGGGGCGGATGGGGTGGGCCCGCCGCTGGGCCTGCCACCCCAGTGAGCCTTCATTCCATGATGGGGACGCACCACACATGCACCGTTGCAGTGACCTGTAAACCCTATGGGATGCTGAGTGTACATAAGCGTGCTCACAAGTCGGGTGTCCCAGCATGGATGGCGGCGCGCCACTGTGGAGCGCAGCACAGCACGGCCAGGATGCTGACCCCGCTCCCAAGCGCTTCTCGCTGCCTGCACGCACCCATCACAGCGCTGCAAGCTTCTGTAAGCGGGGCGGCAGGCGTGTGGCTCTCCGGTCAACGCGATGGCCGCGACAGACCCTTTTGTCCTGAACGCTGATGGCACCGCCAAGGACCCGGTTGCCTTCCGGGAGGCGCTGAAGGCCGACCCCGCCAAGATGGAGGCGCTGGAGAAGGAGCCGGACGTGGCGGCCATCGTGCTGGGGGAGGACGTGAGCGCGTTCCAGGAGCTCATCAAGAGCATCTACCAGGCGCGAGGGAAGGGTTTCTGGGCAGCAGGCATGGCGAGACGAGCGGTGGGCGGGGTAGTCGCCAACACGCCGCCGCCGGCTGAAGGCGACAGGACACTCTGTGCTGCCGCTGCGCCGTGCTCGCACCCATTCAACCTGCGCCTCCCTGTCAAACCCGTGCCGCTCTGCAGGCCGAGAAGAAGCGCCTCGAAAAGCACAACAAGGGGCTGGCGGAGCGCACGATCGATGCGCAGCGCGTGAGCGGTGAGGCGGCGGCGCCGCCTGCCAGGCAGCACACGCACTCGTTGATGCCTCCTGGCCGCGCCCCTTCATGCTCCCTTTGCATGACCCATGCAGCCACCATCCCACGGGATACCGTGCAGCTGTACCAGCAGCTGCGGGAGAGCGGCCTGCAGTATGGACCAGCATTCAGGTAGGGACACGGAGGGGGCGGCTGAAAGCTGCAGGCGCAGCATCGCACACAGGAGTCGAGCCTGGCGCCTCCATGGCGTAGTCTGGCCGCCTGATCTGCTGTCGCCTGTACTGCCCTGCCCTTGACCTCCTGCAGACTGCTGCGCAATGTGCATGTGCCAGCGATGGTCGACGAAGCTTAAGCCCAGCCCGGTAGGGCGGCAACACTACTCTGCACACTCATTGGCCGGTTGTATTGCCTAAATCATGCAACAACACAGCTGGAAAGTTTAGTACAGCAAAAGTAAATAATGGCAAGCTCGGAATGGCCTGGAGAAGCCAGCAGTGCCGCAGACACCGCAGGAGCGCCCCCACAAGCAGCTGCGCGGGCGGGCCAGCCGCTCCCTACTGCCCTGCTGCTGGCTGCTGCACGGCGCCACGCAGCGGCGCCGCCGTTGCTGCCGCCGCTGCCGCCGGGGTGAATGCTAAGGCTGGGATCTCCTGCACAAGCACTGAGAACAATGCAACAAAACTCGGGCAGGTGCCTATCAGGCAAACGCTGAAGCTGATGCTGCTTTCCATAGCCACAGGCAAGCCACTGGCATGCTGCCTGGCATGACCAGCGTTGCCCAAGGTGTGTAGCTCGCGCAACGCAATGGGCAGCGCAGGGCAGCAGCACATGCTGCCAGCGGGGGCAGGAGCGCAGGCCCCACCTGCATGCTGCAGCTGATGAATTCCTGGATCTCGGGCGCCCACCCCTCCCCCAGCTCCGTGTACAGCCAGGCATCCAAAATCCTGCGGCAGCAGCAGGAGCGGCAAGGGGAGGGTGCGGGTGGTGGTGGTGTTGAGAGCGTGGGTGGCGTGGAGCATGGTTTGGGTGAAGGCAGGTTCCAGCGGCTGAAAGCACAGCGGCTGCACACCAATACCACCGCCACAGAGCAACGGCAGGGTGGGAGCTGCAGAGCCCCACCGGCAGGCGTCGTCTGCAGCTGTGACCTGCCCCCCCAGGCACAGCACGTTGGCGCCGTTGACCGAGCGGCCTCCGGCAGCGGCCTCCGGGGTGGTGCAGAGCGCGGCGTACACGTGAGGCCACTTGTTGGCGATGATGCTCATGCCCTGAACCAGCGAGGGAGGGAGGGAGGGAGGGCAGCAGGCGGCGGCAGACGTTGGGCGGGTGTCGGCAGCAGGCACAGGGGGGGTGACTCAGATTTGGAACCTCTCGCCGCCGCATGCATCAGCCAGCAGGTCGAGACGCCGGTGTGTGCCGCGTGCGCTGCCCGGCATCCCAGCTCCAAGCACCTGGCCGCTTCCGCAGATTAGCAGCGCGCGCAGGTCGCTCCTGCCCGCCGCCGCCGCCGCCTCCACCTCCCCGGCCACGCCGTGCGCTGCCACATAATACTTGCTGAACCGCCCGCGGTTGTCCACCTGCGCATGCGCACATGCCAGGGGTTCAGCACCATTAGCATGAGGACAGGGCAAGCAGGCCGCAGAGCTGTGCAGGCAGGGAGCGGCACCTGGGCGCAGCTGGCAGCAAGCTGACTGGCAGCATGGGCAGGTCATAGTGGGCAGCGACGAGAGGAGGCAGGAGTGCCACGGCAGCAGGCAGCCCCTCTGCTGAGCGGACCTCCACCCCCGGCTTGCTGCCCAGGTGCTGCACCAGCTTGGTGTGCAAGGCGGAGCCGTAGGGGTCGCAGGCGCAGATGATGCGCATGGCGGCTGCGGGGAGGAGGGAGGGCAGGTGGGTGCGGCGTGTGTTGGGGACAAATGTGGCGGCGGCGGCGGGTGGAGAGCCACGGCGGCCAGTGGAGAGCGGCGGCGCGGCCGAGCGTGTGGTCCTCTGCAACGTACTTGGGCTTCGCCGGCCGGGCTGGAGCGAGCAGGGGGTTGCGTTACGAGGAACTGGCGCGCTGCACTTGGCGAATAGTGTCGGGAAAGGGGCGGGGCTAATTTATCCGGTGTAGCAGGCGTTGTAGATGCAGAAAAGGCCGGCTTTCAGCCCTGTTGAGTTGATAGATCAGCCATCCAGCTGGCAGGCGCCAGGACGGTGGCAGGGCTGGAGGGATTTTACAGACTGGCAGGCCGTAAATGCATGTGTAAATGCACGTGTCACAAGTGATGAGCATGAATGTGAAGTATGATGGTGTGACGTGAGCCGGGGGGGCGGGTGTGGGGGTGATGGGGGGGGGCGGGGGGTCGGCGCGGTTACTAGCTTATATCAGGCGGCAGGAAAAGGGCAGTGCGGGGAAAAGAGCAGTGCGGAGAGAGGCAGGTCTGATGGCTTATTGGCAGCAGCAATGGAGAGTCAGAGCGAGCAGAGAGGGATGGTACAGAATGGCAACCTCTCTCGCAGGAGAGCGGCAAGGTGGATAAGGGAGGAAAGGAGATGAATACATGCCGCATGTGCTTTGACGCGGCTTCAAAGTGGTGGGCAAAAGACATGGTGGAGCACCGCATCGCCCCTCACGGCAGCGCTTTGCCGTTGAGCCAGCACAGCTTCTGGCCCGTCTTGCGCGCGGTCCACAGGCCGGTGCCGCACTTGGTGCACTTGCTCTGGCCCAGGTTGGCGGAAAACGACTGCAACGGCATGAGGGGGGCAGCAGGGGCGGTGGTCAGCAGCCGCGCTGCGCTGATTGTGGGCGAGATCGCCAGCACCATGCATCGAGGGGGGCGCCCAGGGACACAGCATGCACAGCGGCAGCACCGCCCCCGCAGCCGCTCACGTTGATGGGGCAGGGCTGGCAGTCTGTGGGGGTGATGGAGGAGGCCTTGGTGCCGTACTTGCCGGCTGGGCAGGGCGTGGGGGCAGCCATCTTGGTGGCCTGGCAGTAGCTGCCGGCGGGGCAGGGCTTGCAGGCGCGCTGCCCGTCCCTGTCCTGGTAGCTGCCCTTGCCGCACTCCTTGCAGAAGGGCTGCTTCATGTCGGCGTAGAAGCCGGGGCGGCAGGGCTTAGGCGCCAGGGAGCCCGCGGGGCACTCGCTGCCAAGCGGGCAGGGCTGCGGGGAGGCGGGCGGGCGCAGCGGCACGGCGCGTGGCGGTCAGCTGGCCGCCGGCTGCCACTCGGCGTGAGGGTCCATCCGCGGCTGGGCATTGGGACGAACAAGCACGTGGCTGGGCCGGCCCGGCGGCGGCTGGCAGCGCCTGCGCCCCGCCCACCTTGCACTCTCCCTGCCCCTCCTGATCCTGGTAGGTGCCGGCCTCGCAGGGGAAGAAGCCGTCGTTGCCGGTGCCGGGGGCGTAGTTGCCCTTGGGGGCGGGCAGGCAAGCCTCCAGCGCGGTGCTGCCGGTCATCTCGGTGTAGGTGCCCACAGGGCAGGCCTTGCAGGCCAGCTGCCCCTCCTCGTCCTGGTAGGTGCCCGGCTCGCAGACGTCGCAGGCGCTGTTGCCGCCGTCGGCCACCGCCTGGCCCGGGGGGCACCTCTTACAGGGGCCCGAGGCGCCTTGCCGCTCGGAATATTCGCCAGCGCGGCATGCAGTGCAGGCCAGGTCGGTCCTGTTGAGCAGGGTGGTACCGGGGATGCAGGCGAA